CAAAGTGAACTTTTATTATAGGCATTCCTTTCACACGATTAAACAAGGCAATGCCTCCAGTAAGTGACATTTAATGCAAGTACTAATGAGCGCAACATCAAAACTTATCCTGCATTTATCGAAGAATGTGTTTTTATAAAAAAATGGGGAGTATATTAAAAATAAGATGAAAAAAAAACATAAAATATCACGATTTGTTAAAAAGTCGCGAAGTTGCCATCGCAGAATTTTAATGATGATCTTTTAATTTCTTTCATCCTAATGAAATTCTTGTCTTTGTCTTAAAATCATTTTTGACCAATCGGTTAGAGACGATCTTCCCAGTTTTGATTTCTCGGTTATTTGCCTTTACAAATTTCAAGAAACATGGAAAAAAGATGATGTCTCTAGTCCTTTCAGAAGGCTAAGCCTTAGCGGTTAAGCACTTCTAAGTGTTTTAGCAATAAAATACATGTAAAAAATGCATAAATATGATACCTGAATAAGTATTAACTGTAGAACAAAGCAATGTCACAAGCCTGTAAATTTATGAGTTAAGACTTAACTTCGTGACACATAAAGGCGACTAGAAATAGGTCCTCAATGCGTTAATGAATGTATTTTATTCAGCCTAGTGGAGATCTCCCAAAGGATTAGTACACCCTGCCACCTTCATCCTCGCCTTTACAATTAAATGGCTCATATGCACATACAATTAAATCAAGCGTTTCATAACCTTGGGATGGCTTAATAGAATGTTAATTTCTCGATGTCTCCTTTAAAAAGGCTGGCCACTCTTATAATGATCTAGCTGAGTCGAAAGCGCAATTGGATATGTTCAGTGAAGGTCATTTGTTATTTTGGAAACAAATTATTTTTGACAGATAAACATCCTTTTATTTTTACTTCTAGAGTTCATCGATGAATGACATTTTATGTAGGTCCAAAGAGTAAATAAAGTTGACATTCAATGTCCTATATTTAGCTTGGTTTACCCCTAACTGCGTTCATGAGCAACTTCATGTTGAGGCTAGAAGGTGAAGGTAAAATGGAATTACTTCCGGATTACACGTTCCACGTGGCTAGTGAAGTAAGCAACAAATTCTTCATAATTCGTTAATCTGAATTAAGTATTAATAAAGCGTTTGTTGAACTGACAGTCTTCTTATGAATCAACTTCTTATGGAGACCAACCTTGAGACATGGCCGCATTTTTAAATCAATGGATCCGAGATTCGCATTGAGTATTGTCTAAATACTATTCCATAGGTGTAAAAAAGGGCATCAGCTAAACATTTTTCCTGGTTGCAATTCGAATAAAGTTCATCCGTTTAACTTTCTAGCGTTGGTGAAATTCTTAAAATTACGAATAGGATACACCATCCTTTATTTTAATGAATACAGTTTACAATTTATAGACAGCATAAGGAGTTGTAGTTATTGCCGATGAAATTCCTTTGTAACCACTCAGTCACAAAGAAATTAATCAAACGAAGCTGGTGATACAACCCTAAACATTGTTTACCTAGGAGGCGTTTTTCCTCTTTAATTAAGCAGAACGCGCAGGTTGCGTAAACAGTGCCGCCAAAAGTTAGCACGCAAAATACCGAAAGATTAAAACCTGTTGGTGCGTTCCTTATCTTTCTCAACAAGACCTTGTAGTCTGGGTTGTTTAATTGCTTGCTAAAATTTGTAATGATCACCAACTGAGTTGAAAGCCACTTAATTAGACGATATGATAAACCAAAAAAGCCTTTATACTAACAAGAAAGGTGAGCATAACTCGACATATGCAAAAAGTGCCAAACTTTAGAAGAGAGAATCTGATTAAAGCTATTGGATTTAAAACCATAAAAAGACCAAAATATACGACTGTCACATTATTCATCTGTTGTGGTTCAAAAATGAGACAAATCTTCACTAAACCCTGAAAGCAAAGAGTACTTGTCGATATGTCTGGTATCGTCATCCTAAATTGAGTAATATATTATGTATTTTTACATCCCTGGAGTTGTAAAAAAACACAAATAATAGTAGTCTTAAAAGGACTCTACCTAATGTATATAAAATTAATTTAAGCAAACACGTTTCACTTAGAGTGGTTGAATGTGATAAATGTCATTTAAGGCAATCTTATTCATCTGCTTCTTCTAGCATGATTTGAAAGTATTTACTGCCTCGCAGATTCGAGAATTTTTCCTCTTTTGTCCTCTTAATGCCAATTAGAAACTTGTAATGGGTTTGCAAAAAATAGAAGAACCGGTAACTGCATGATCGATGCTTTTCAATAGGCCATTAAATTCATTCAACATCGCATGCTTCCAATTATTTTTTATTTGATGCAATAAATCGCTCTCCCCAGAATAATGATTCCACCCCAACCGACACGCAACGGAGACATCCTAGGAGGCAGACATGGAAAGCATTGCCTTTATGGTCAGACTGGATTGGTTTCCCATCTGGTCATGGGAATATTTGCTCACTCCCCGGGTCACTCTGAACTTAGTGTTGCGTATTCTAACGACCAAAGTGTACAACAATTTTAGCCATCAAACTGTTGACACATTAGTCTCTCAATTCATCCTCCTATCTTACCAAGTAAGACCAACAAATTCACCAACAACTCTTGAAAGTGTTGTTGCTGTTGCCGTAAAAACCAGATCAGTGTAAAATATTTTTGCAGTCTATTTTGTTTACAGGAGAAACATATGAACGAGTGTTGATTTTCTACACTTAAGGCGGCAGATATTCAAAAAAAAACAAAATTTCTTCCCTTACCCAATTTTATTAACTTAAAAGAGAGAGGTGCTTTCATTCAGAAGGACAATAATCCTGCTCCGATGTAAAAATGTCAGAGTAAAAGTGCATTCTGTCAAGGGTTTTGGTACTTTAATAACACTGATAAGTTAACTATCAGCCAGCTCTCATAAATGTGCCGCCCTTTAGCCTCAAGTTAGCCAATCACATAGGAACAGAACGGAGTATCGAATAAATTTAAATGGAAAACCACTCTATGCAATAGATATTTTAATTTTTTCATCCATTCTCACAACATAGCAGGCAAAATTTATGGATCCATTTTGGTGGTTTAAAGGTGATTAGGAAGGCTTTATTCAGCTGCGTTATTTAATAGCCGGAAACTTGAACTTTTAAAAGACACCTATTACCTATTTATGGCCTTATCACTTAATGTGGTTCGAGTAAATTATCCAACGTCGCATTCTTCCCCATTCATAATTCATCATATATGTATCATGCTGCTGTGACTTCTTTTGGTATGTAAAGGAATAGTTTCGGGTTACTAATGCAACGCAGACATGTCCAGGATACACAGGAAAGCTATTACAAGCCCCTTTAAGTCTTCCCCACCTGCAATTACCCTCTTCTGAGTTAATGCATTCACCGTCTGTAGGGAGAGAGAGAGAGAGAGAGGATATTACATGATGCTTGAATATGCATCCCATTTGTAATTTTTTGTTTCTTGGGGGATATTTTGCGTTAATCTAAAAAATGTACATTAGTGAAGGTCTAGAGTCTGGAATGTGAGATGGCTAACAGGGATTATCTCTCAGGCATTAATCATGGTTGGGACACCCAGGTGTACCGTGGGTGACCGTAAAGGTCACCGATCGATCAGTCCGATCCGCTTCCCTCCATCTAACGACGAGTTTAGGCGTTGGTACCTGACGAAACCCAAACCCAGACAATAAGGAATGACAGACAATAATATTTAGCTTACTTGAGCTAAGTTTTATGCAATGGTGGATTTGGGGAGAGGCGATTTATTAGAAGAAGAAAGGGGGATGTTCCAGTGTGGAACTTCGTTCAATGACACTGATGCAATAAAAATGTCAAACGAGGTTCACAGTCAGACGGTAAAAATGGAGGGAGGAAATTGTTTCGTGCTTTAGGTACAAAGCAACAAATGTTTTGAGGATCGACACAAGTTGTTAGTAGAACACTGACTGTGAGAGATAACAGGCCATTGTATGTCATTGAACCAAAACGCCCTTGTAATTATAATATCAAAGAAGTGGATGCAAATAACAGGGCCATGTGCAACATCTTCGAAACCAGAAGATAAATCATCACCTTGTGTGATGATAAATCAGGGCAAATGGATGAGAATAACCCTTTAAACAAGTCCATTGAGGAAAGTGCTCTTTTGGAAGTTATTTCCGTCTTTCTTTAAATGTTTGAAGAATGATTTGCCCATCTTTCACTGAGGTGAGTGGAAAATTCATTAAGATATGAACCAGAAACATTAGCCCACAAGTAACTTTCTGGACTATCAAAATTTATGTCGCTTTTGACCCAGAAAGTGGAGACGTAAACTCGCTCGACACATTTCCATGCATTAATTATTTAGCACTGCAGAAATTGGTGTGTTCCAGGCTGAGAAAGCCCTATCCCCATCTTATTCCGTTTGACAAATTTCATCCTTCCAATGAGGTGAGTAGCATTTGGATTTACGTTTAGCTTCCCGCACTTTAGGATAAAGCTGCCTTCAAAGCTGGCTGGTAATAGTACAGGGATGCCATCAAATTTTATGACTTTGACGCAGAACTGGGCCCACAGTATGAGCGATTTTTATCCACACAAGATGAATGCTATCATTATTAAGCTCTGTTCTTGTATTTTAAATCCTTCTTAATCTACCTTAAAAATATGCTCGGACTTGATATTAGGACACCTTACGAGATCTACACTTTCTCGAATAGTTACTTTTTGTTCCACACATTCACCGTTTTGGCCCAATTTAAGTTTTAATATGCTAAATCAGAGGGCCCCGGTGTAGGAGGCGGTTAATTTTTACTTACTGTGTGGACCTGGGTGAACGGCTACTGAGCAATTTAAGCTTAGACATTTTCAAGACAGTCTTGTTTAAAGATAGCAGAACTGGTTTTCAAGCGTAAATCATTCAGGCGCTAAGTCTGTTCCGCCCATAAAAATCTTTTTAATGCAAACCAGAGCAAACCGTGTGTAGTATTTTGGAGCTAGGTTTAACAATAGAAATTGACATTCAGATGAAGATGGCAAAATACGGAGCATGTGTAAGCAGTGTAGACAGTTTCAGGTGATCGCTAAATTAAACCTCAGAAAAGGGGAAGGATGTATACCATGTGAAGCCTCCCCGACGTGTTCGAGGTCACGACGCAGGTGTGTTACAGTTGTGGTTAGATTGTACACGGCTTTTCAACTTTACATCTTCAGGTCAATGTCAGGTAAGTCAGCAAATTGCACAGCCTGTGGCTCAAACCCTGCAGCACACACATTCCTCCAGTCAGTGGCAGGGTTGGAGCCACCAGTAAACAAAATGAGGTCAATGGTGGGGCAAATTTTGAGCTACAGTTTCACCTATAGGCAGATTGCACAGGAAGTCTGCATCCGTATTAGTATTCATTTGACGGAAGTGTGATTGGATTTTAAATCCTTGATTTCTTGAATTTCTTTGACGATATGGTGACCTACAAGTCATCGTAGCACCTTGTACACACGACTTGGCTCATTCCCAGGATTGTAAAACATCAGTGGGCTAGCGGGTAAGGCTATTTAAATCCGGAATAAGGAGGAGCATAGGGATTATGCAACTCCCAATGGATGGCATCGCACTTTGGAACCCATGTATTAAAGGTTAATCAGCATTGAAGAGTGAATATGACCATCAAATTTCCGGTAATTCTACCAGCTAAACGATAACCTATATGGCTTGCAAACGTGCAGCCGATTTCGTTCAATTTATGTGTTAAAGATGTGCAACTGCTATAGCAAATCACACATGTGTTGTCTGCCTTCTGAGTTTCGCATCTCCCGCCTGTTGAAATTGAACGAAACGATGCAAAGATAAAACATTTTGAAGGTGTCGATGAACGTCATTATAGTGGTAATTTCATCCTGTATTAAAGGCTATGCATTACGAAAAGAGGGAATGGCAAAGAGACCAAATTTATGGATAATTGCTTTGGGATTCTATAAAAAGGCATTTGTGAATATTGGTAAGGTTACACAAGCTCACATTCAAATAGGAGTGACTGTAGTAGTAAGTATTACTAGTACTCATTGAATTTTACTTTTTTTATTGCAGACCATTAATATCTGCACTGGTTTATTTTTATCAACAGCACGGGAGGGTGTTACCCTTCTATGTTGTCCGCGCTACCAGAGGGAGGGAAGTCAAAGGCTTCCAGCAAACCCACCTCCACTCTAGGTGAGGTACACCCACTGCGCGCTGTATAGGCGACGGTGACAGTGACGATGAAGGTTTTGATGCTGCCGCTGTTAATGTCTAACAGAGGTGTACGTTAAACCCGCTTGTGTGGTCTTGTCATCCCCTCCGCACGATCGATCCGTGTAATGAGGTGATGACCGCGACGTACCACATTTATGCAATGTCTGGCTCCTCCTACCCTCCCCCCCCCCCCCCAATCGGCGGCTAGGAAAGTCTATTTGATGCTTACCGCCTTTTTCACTAAGACGTCTGATGGAAATACACTTTCAGTGTCTAAACCAACTCATTTGTAAGCCGTCGTTACTTCGCGTTTAGAATGTAAAATTTGAAATTTCATTTCATCTTTTGTCAGAAGAATTTTTTACTCACTTTCGCAGAAAAGCAAAGGGAATTATTTACCCAGTTATTGGTAGAGAATTCAGAATTCCCTATATTTTCTCTATAATCTCTAAGTAGTAAAATGATCGGAAAACCTAGGGCTGGGATTTGACAACTATACCATTTTTTAAGCGTTCCATCATAACTGGTTAGAAATAATCAGAGGAGTGAAAGACAGTAGCTACTCGGATCCAATTTTTCAAACCGGCTCGCCTTAAACAGTGGCTAAATAGAAAAAATAATGGTTTAAACTACAGTTAAATCAAAAAAAAACTGTATTTTATTGGAACTTGTGTATATTGTACATGTAAACCATGTAATTACGCTAGGGATGAAGTTTAAAAAGCTCCCAATTTCCCGTCAATCAACGTTCTAGGCAGTTTTTGAAACTTCCTCAAAATCAGGAAAGTTGAACTAGTTAGTGGCAGTAGTACGGAAGCCCATCTAGAATACTGATGATATTCAAGAAGCAATTGAATTTTTTAGTTAAGCAGCATGGTACAATTTGAACCCAAAAATTCCTTTTATTAAAGCGGCTTTGAAACATGCACTAAGCTAGCCAACACTTCCGAACCGTTTTATTTTCTAAATAAACATTCGCTGGTTCTTAGACTAGCTAAGGCTTAACATTTACCCCTTTTAGGACCATCTTAGGGCAGTCCTCTTCATTTCATTCGCAAACTTTTAGTGACTGCAAGTGTTCGTGTGTGATTGTGTTTGTCTTATGTGCAATGTCATACGCGATTCCAGAACTGGGTGACCCACATCCAGAAACAACTGCTATGGGATGGGCGTCACTTGGGCAGATATTTTCACTGACAAATGTGTAGCTGTCTTTGATAAGTTCAAACCATTCACTCTTCTTGCTACGGTTTTGTCCATCACCCCATAGTGATTAAAGCCTTGTGCAGGTATCTACAGGAATGGATTTTGCGCTTCATTCATTCTAGTCAATGCACTTTCACCGTTGCCTCCCATCTTGATTAACGACTTGTGAATGGACCCGTTACATCGGTGTTAGCTACTAGTAAAGTATAATGCCATCCTGATAGCATCTCTTTCTAAACCTGTGTACCCGAAATTCGGACATGACTTCAGTGTCCCCATTTATCATCCATTGCCGATGAAGCTTATGATGAACCAACCAAGAGTAGCTTTTAATGCACTACCTTAAAGTATGTCATTGGTTTAACAGATATAAAGAAACGACAGGGCCTGGTGAGACGTACCAACATATTGTCGAATGCCGATAACGCCAATGAAGAGGAACATGAGGACACCGGAGAACTGATAGTTGAGTCGGTCCGCAAAGTCATCGTCAAACCTCAGTCGAGAGGAGCCAATGCGCCCGAGTTTACTGAGCTTCCAGATGAAGGTGGCGTCCATTGCCCCGTGACCGCCGCCTCCACCGCCGCCCCCGCCTATGTGGCCACCCGAGCCGGAGTGGTGGTGATGATGATGGTGATTGCTCCCGTAACCGCCCCCGCTGCTGTCGTGTCCGCCGCTGTGGGAATCTGAACCGTAGAAGGAAGAGTAGTAGTGACCGTTACCTTGATGATGACCGTATCCACCAGAACGACGATAGTCGCCTGTAAACAAAGATACACATCACGATGTGCGTTATTTCACGTTCTCTTCCCATCTACAGCCAGCCCCACCTATCCACGCACATATACGGGCACGAAACTGCAGTTGACAATACTCAAAATATATGCTAATGGTGAGGTGTCAGTCTCCTGTAGGCTACCTTGATAGTAGTGGGAACCAGACGGTGTCTGCTGAACTCCAATCCTTACAGTATATTTTTACTACCTCATCATCACAGAAGCTTCTTTGTAGCCCCGTGCACAGTCAGTATCAATTAACTAGCAAAATGCTACTGTTTAGTCGGTCTACCTCCACTTATTTTGAAAGAGAATGATGTTTATTAGTGCAGTTCTGCATACCAGTAAATGGTTCCCTCTGTTGTCTCCCACTTACTGTAAAAACACTTAGAAAGTGTTAACATTCTGTCTGTTTTTAAAATGATTAAATAAAAGGAACTGGAAAAATGGGACCGTTTTTGGCAATAATACGCTACAGAAGAGGCTATTTAGGCAAACACATTCAAAACCAATTTTCTGTAAAGAATTTCCTAACAAAAATATTAATGTTAGTCGATTTTTTGTTAAAGGATTAGTGATCCGAGAAAAGATACTCTTCATAACCTTTAGTGAGTATTTAGGCTTGCAAATCTTCTAAATTTGGTTGTTCAGTTTTTAAAGGAAAAAAAGCAACAGAAATTCGGATTTCAGTGTACTACATTTGGAATGGACAAGCAAATTTTTGACAAGCAAACTTTTTTGAAATCCACTGCTTGCATTTATTTTTCAACTCCTACTTTCCGAATCTCCTCTTCAACACCATAACCGCAGGCCAGTTTCCTACTTACCCGAAGTCAATACTTCTCAGAAAAACTTGGAAAGTACTTCCACTTCCCCTTGTAGGACTTTGCAAGTTTTGGATTTACGTAAATCTGTTTTATCTCGTTTGGTCCTCATCTTCGAAATATGATTGTTCTTTTAGTATTTGGGACTTCTTTCCTAATTTTCAGTGTTACATCAAGATGTTATCGAATTATTAACTAGTTTTACTATTTTTTCGAGTTTGCTATAGAGAAATTATATCACTTTTACACATCGTACTTTCCAGGATATGCAGTGAGATCCACGAAAAGTAGTTTATGTTAAGTAAGTCGCTTCAATAACTTGCATCTAATGCAAGTCCTGCAGGAGGATGATTTTAAAGAAAAATCGGACATCTTTTCAGTGAATTTGGTGACCTTCTCGTTCATCAAATCAGTACTACATCCACATTGCCTCTTAAGGGGAATGCCCAATTCGCATGCCACATGAGGGATCGCAAACTTGCTGAATGAATAAATGTTAAATACCAATATGCCACGATATCCTTTCCTTTTTCAAGGATAATGCTTGGGCTTCTTTTACTTTCCTGCTTTTCTGATGAGAAAATGTTTTAAAGCTTTTATTTGTTTTGGAACAGACTATTTAAGGCTGTATCAATTAATGATTCACAATATAGGCAAATCAGGGTGGAAGATGAATAACATGGTTTCCGCAATTATTTTTGAGAATCAGACTATTTAAGTAAGATAATTATAAGCAAAGTTTTAAAAGTATCTTGTTTTTTATGAGTTAGAGAGTTGGCAGAACACTACCATGCATATTTTAGGTGTAACCACTCATCGGAAAATGCCATTCTAACGCGCCCCCGGGCTCAGCGACTAACCCATTAGAGGTGTTTACATCAGTGCCACTTTTCAGCCTCGATGTCAATGGAGGGGCGTGGGGAAGGAGGGGTGACGCCTGAAATTTTCGAGAACAATATCTGTACGGTTGGGGAAAAGGCTTTTATTTCGTCGCCAAAAAATATCTCGGAGTGTATCCGGAGCTTACAAGCATACACTATCATTTCCATGACAATCAACTCAGCATAATAAGCATTAAAATAGAGGATTTTTAGCATATTTAAAAAGTAATGGGGTGAGCTGGACAGAAAAGCGCACATTTTTGGTATTGTGGTGCCTAAATTCAAGAAAACAATATCATATGGTGGAACGTCGTCGTAAAATTTCTACATTTTGATACTGTTACTGCAGTTTATTAGACAAAGTCGCGTCAATCAAACGGTTTCTTTCTTCTGTGCACAAAAAAAGAGGCTGTTCATGGAGCCAACTGAATACTTTTTTACTGAAAATCCTCCTGTTTTGTAAAAGAACCAATAGGAATGCAAACCTTGGTTTAATAAGCAAAAAGTAAGGGTTTGAGTTTATTCGAAGTGCTGAAAGCGTGAGATCGCCCATTCACAAACAGTGTTTTAAATTGTACTGTCAGTCATGAACGTGTGTAAAGATATTAATAACCAAATATTTAACAGGTGATAGTCTTCAAAAAGACTCTTTGTATTTGAGTACTTGATTTATTTTGTGTGGGATAATGGAAAATTTTCACTCAGTTAACAATCTCTAACAATTTTCTGGTTGTTTGGGAACAGCATATTTAAATCTGGACCCTACAACTAAACGGGAAGATTTTAGCTGCTCCTGTGAAGTGAATGCGAAGGCTGAACAGGTGGTGTAGATGTTTCATTTGACAAGTTGGAATTCGTATTCGATGTCACTTTACAATTTTGACATCAAAAGAGTGCAGTAAGCTCAAAGCAGGCCAAGGCATTGCTCTTAAAAACGTTTCCAATCCTAAATGCGTAGAAATGAATTTCGTTGGACCACCAAAATAGCTGCATCGAAGTAGTGCATTCTCTTCTAAAAAAATAGCGAAAGGAGTTTGAGAGAACACTCCTATGCACCATGTCCATAATTTGACTCTTAAACGTTCCACACTAAATAATTTCCTGCTTCTAATGCGTTAGCTCTGGCAGCAGCAATATTAGGATTAATGGAAAATAATTGCCTGCATCCCTTTTCCTAAACTCAACCTACCCTGAACGTTTTATGGATCCGACAGCTAGGTACAAATAAGTAAATTATCTAGCTACATGTCCTCTTCCCTGCAAGGGCTTCATAAAAGATTCAGAGGCTGATGGCTGTCACTTTCCACTTTTGCAAAATTAATGCGACTATTGCGACCGTGGCAGTCTATTTTGTTTTCTGCCACTTTGCAGGTAAACACTCAAAGCACTTGACCCACCAAAATAATTCCTCAATCAAAATGCAACAAAGTTACTTGACACTTATATACTTTTAAAGTCAATCTATTTAAAAGTTGATTTTTGTGTAAAGCAGACCATTGCTAAAATGGAGATAAGTTTTTCCTTGGTAACAAAAATGGTTGCTTTTTTACGAAATATCCCATCAAATCAAGAGAATAACAAAAGCTGTGTAGCCTAAAAATAAGGTTAGCGGTCAGAAGAGAACTTTAAAGATCGTCGGAGCCTAACAGTTTATCATTAATTGAAATAAAATTTTATTTTGCATATCTGCTGCCAGCATGCTGAACGAAAATTGGAGAAAACCTTCTGGAAGAGGGAGAAGTTGAAATAATTCTTTTACGCTGAGCTAAGTAAATACAAATGGTAATTCAAATAATCAAGATGGTAAAAGTTCAAAAGGTTACCCTTTAAACAGGAATGGCAAAATGCAGAATAATTGCTCTTCTACTCCATAGTGTTTCACCGAAATCTTTAAATAGATATTGTTATTGTGCTTTGCTGCTTAAATGTAACTTTAGGCAGGATGCATTCAGTCAACTTTAATCTCATAACGGAGGAGGTGTAAGATTTCACAAAGGCAGGGGGTAGTTCAGAACTCAAACATCCTTAAACCTGTTTGTATCACCGTCAATGCCGACTAATGAGTATGCCCCTGTCCGACAGGTTCGTTTGTTCGAAGGGTTAAATGAAGAACGCGCTACGCCTACTGTGAATTCTATGCCACTCAAAATCCTTTTTCCATCAAATGTAACGATTTAACTGAATTAATTAAAGCACTGAAGAAACCAAACCATCACTGTCAGGAAGTGTGAGAACCGGTGTATTTCACATCATTTGGTACAAATTTTCCACACAAAAGCGAGAGTTAAGTGCTTTCCAAACTTTGCAAGGGCAGGAATTTTTAGGAAATATTTTAAAAGGCACAAACAAGACTTTTGCATTCATAAAGGAACGCATCCCAAATTCATTACGTTCTCTTGGCGTAATTAGAATTAGTCACAAATCAGTGGGGCGAATGTGCTCCTCGTACAGTCTGTTAAAATGGGAGAAGGAACAAAGTTGTTTGCCCCGCCTTATTGACGGCTCATAGCAGAGCACAGACTTTAAAAAAGACAGGCTTGGCGTCTTGCATAAGACTAAAATTAGATAATAAGTTAGTTTTCCAAGGTAGTCTTTATTAGATTGAAGAAGGAAATTTTGCCAGTCCATTGGAGACTAATTGACTCTAAAGTGGTTAAGAAGAGTAATAACCACGACGTCAAAAATGCTCCTCATTCAACACAGACTCGGTGTTGTTAAGTGCCAATGGCAGATGCATGGTTCGAAGCTACCTAAAATCATGAGAGCACTAGTAGCACCATTTGATGGATTATTTCCATATTTTGTAGATATAACCAAAAATTCCTTTTACGTTTCTCCGGAGGGGCTGATTTAATTATCTGGTGTCTCATCTTGGGGTATCAAAATGAGTATGAGAGCAACTGCCTCAGGAAACGTCAACCTCGGCCAAATTCTGGCTATTACAGTTAAGAAACTCTTTGTTAAAATATTCGAAACACACCAATCGAACTCAAAACGGACTCTAAAGAAGCCTTATCAAAATGTTTCCAAGAGCCAAAAATTATAGTTTGGAGAAAAAACATTAAAATAATTTTTACTGTGGCAAATTTGCTACCCATAGTTGCATTCTGATTAGAGAAAATAGTACCTCTTTTAGTAAGTTCTAAGGTACAAGCAGAGTTTATCAATAAAATAGTTTTTTTGGTTAAGTTAAACAAAACCTTAAAAATGATATGAGCGTTTCTGAATGTACTCGCAAATCCCTTTAAACAGAGGCTTATCCGGGTTTCAAACTTGTTGTCTAACCTCCTTATCTTATTGCCACGGCAACTCAATGCCATGGTATTTGCGCATTTACCAGTCTCATGCGATGAAGGATAGCGATGTTGCATGCTTTTTTAAACGGTTCCTAGTCAGTAAAAATTTTGGCGTTTCAGAAAAAATATATTTTCCAGGGCAGTCTACTGTTTTACCTCCTTAACAGATGTCGGTGAATGTTGGAAATGCTCAACTTGGATAAACAAAAGAACGAGTTAAAGAGTTGTTAAACATTTCTACTCTCCACATAGAGTAAAAAGAGATTTTCGTTTCTTAGCTAATTTTGCTTTGGCTGCTTTTGGCATTGACACACATATAGGCTTAACAAAATCCCAATTTAAACTCCAAGACGGCTAAGAGCAGGCCAAAACATCGTTCGATGTTTGTTTTACTTGAGAAAAGTCTCCGTTGACTTATTTCTTGCGGTTATAAAACTGTGCAACATGTTGAATGCTAATTTTCCAACCGATATTTATAGTCGGCTGGGTAACTTCTAACTCTGAAAACAAAAAATTTGCTTGTCGCTTTACTTTACCAGTTACCGCTTGGGTGAAATGTATGCATGTTGAGGTTCTGGTAATTAAATGCAAATATTACATCTACTAGAAAACCAAATAAGGACCTAAATTTGACGTGATTTAGCCATCTTGACGGCCATGAGTTGGTTTAAATGCAGTTAGAATTGGATTTATTATCCTAAAGAACGTGACATTAATCAAGCAGGTTTTGAATTATCATTGACTGACTTAAATCGCTACCTTGAAAATGCGACTTCAAGCACAACTATGAGAAGGGGTAGAGAAATATGCAGGTGAGTTAACTTTTAGTCCCATTTAAGTTGATTATTCTGGTAGCCATTTTCACAGGAAGAAAGTGGGCACTTTTTCCAGTACAGTTACAACAGGAATTTGTGTTGGGATGTCATCTATCTACCTGCATTACTCGTCCTGGATGAAGCGAAGCCCTCGTCCAACCCAGGAGATTAAGTGTCATCTACACTGAATGCCATGAACAGGTTTAAAGACAACCATTTGTCCCCTCAAGTTCACAAGCGGGAATTTTGCGTGCATTTTGAGACTGATTTGAACTGAAGCAAAGGTAAACCCAGGTAAAAACTTGGCGCTGCTCTTAAAAAAAAGAGGGTGGTGAAGCACTTCCTGACTCGAGTAGAAGAGTGGTTTTGCTTGCCCTTATCCTTCTCCGTTATTTAAAATGTAAGTGATTTCAATGTGATTCAAGTGGGGTAAAGTTGTTCTCCTTTAACTCCGTCCGCATGAATGGATTTCAAGCTTGAGACTACTCAACATCACTCCACTCTATTGCAATGATCTAAATGCTTTTTATGGTCTAAAATGATTCGGGAGGAAAATTTAACGATCAGGCCAAAACAAATCGGAGCCATTCAGACCCTCGCATGTTCAAGCGGACTAGACATCGAATTGTGGTCATTAAAAAATATACGTCGGTTTTCATTACGGGTAAATTAAAATGTACTCGACTTTACTTTTTAGAAGTATGTTCTTAAAGTTGTTCCTTTTTGACAACAAATTTACAATTTTCCTGAAAATTTTTTTCTATATTAATTGACTTTGGCGCCAGAAAATTTAGTCTGTATAATATGCAGGGTTTCAGCCTTAAAATCAACATCTTAGGATTGAGCCTTTTAAGAACTAATTCTTCTAAATTTAAAATCCTATTTTACGAAACAATAAGGCAAATATGTGTAGCAACGGTGTTTTTAGACCGTTTTAACTGTCGTCCTTATTAATTTTACGAGAGGTGGCTTAGGATGGTAACAGTTTCCCTAACTTTTACGTGTCTGCACATTGTACTCCTGTAAAAGAACCACTGAAGGTTGATTTAAAGAAGATGCAACAATTTTATATCAAATTTGGTCATTTATCACTAAATTGCATTCTTTAAATGTAATGCTGTGGTATTGTTGTAAAGACGATTGAACTGGCTTCCAATTTTGCTTCTTAGTCAGCCTTAACAATATCACCAAGTAGTTATAATTAACTGCATTTCATGCACAAATTTTATCCAAAACCGAGGAGTATTTGTAAGCAGGTTGTTAAAGATATGCTTTGAGGCCACTTTAAGCGTTAAAAATCCATTCACCACGAAGAAGCTCACAAACCTCGGGTCATCGCCTATTCATCCAGATCGATCCTTACTAGTGAAGGACGTGAAATCTAGGTCGACATAACATAGCCTTGGAGCCGGTTACAAGCTCACAGAAGAGCGATGAGTGCGTCCAGATGTGATGCTACTTTATGGTTCGTGGACTTCGGGAACACGGGCAGAAATCCACGTCGTGAGGGAGGTGGAGAGGGACAATTGAGTTAGAAAAGTTGACTCTTTTGAGTGGACCTTTCTCCTCCACTTGGAGATACGGTTATGGACACTCAGGCAAGCGGACACGTTGGAAGAGGTTAGAATCAGACAGACAGGAGGGGTAGGGGAGACTATTCACCGGAGAATGGCAAAAGCGAATGCAGGATGCTCAGGTAAGGGCAAGGATGTGGGCTTTGAGTAGACAATTGGAGCAGTTACGATGCCTTATGGGCAGGTTGCGTCAGACTGGGCAGTGGTTAAGGCTCCCAGCTACTTTTCTCCTCTCGATACCCAAACTCCATTTGGGCTTGTTCCACCAATCAGTGTCGCCTGTTGCCTCCACCAATGGGAATTTTCGTTCCATGTACGTGGGTTTGCGCGCACGTAAGTGATTATGTGGTCATCCGATGCAAAACTGTAGTTGTTACTTAATACCTCCCGTGTAACTCCATTCATTCGACAATGATTAGATCATTTTCGCAGCCTCAGTCCTATTCTCTCGGCCATTTCCTTGTGCACTTATATCTGGGTCGGTTGAAACCAACTTATTTTGTCTTGTAAACTTATTTTATGCAGGTGAAGTAGACACAATTGATCGACAGCTATTTATTTTAAAATCGCGCTGAAAATATAGAGAGCTTGTTAAACCAACGTATTTATGGACTTCTCTGTCATCCAAGGACTCCGTGTTTACAATTTGTTCAAATAAATTGTTTACGATATAAATTGGTGACTACCGTGAAAGCATATTTAACAGCTGTTCTTGAGTTTTATAGCTAACTTTAACAACAATTAAACTATGATTCGTTTGGGACCTTAACTAACTGCTACATTGAAGGCTTTTAGTACACTTTAGGTATATTTTGAGGAAATTAAAACGTCTGGATACAAAATGCTTGGAAAATGAGAGGTAGCGGGAAGAAAACGCGCGGTCGATTGAGAGAAGCAAAGGCGGTTTGACCAGTTTTTTTAGGAATTTATTCAAGCTTGACGCAAAGAGGCGGTGCACAAACCACACGTAATCTCGATGGCTTTCGCATAATAACGAGCAGAGGCATTTCTTGACATTTCGCTTATAACTGGCCGTGGGAAAAAATCATGTTTATAAGATTGAAGGTCATGTAAATTAGAGTTCTAAACAAAAATATACCCTTTAGGGACTTACTGATAAACCTGGCTTTTATTCACACGTTCCCACTTTCATAGACCCTGCTAATACGCACACTTACACACACTGGTTTGAGTATTTTCCAGCTGCTTCTTACAATAAAGATGATAATGTCGATTATCGGGCTGTTAATTTACAAGGCTCCGATTTGTAGTAAACTGCTGTAACAAATCTGCGTAATAAACTATATCCATCTTAGCAAACACTGGTCGTACATTTTTTTACCAAACTTTAAACTACGTGGCTCTATTCTTGTGCGTTCGGCGTCTGCTGCAATAATTGAACCACTTCTAGGAAAACAAACTGCATCATTCCAACCAGTTACTTGGCTAGTCGTCCTGTTTTTCAAGCCGGTCACCTTTTAATACAAGCGCAAGCACGCCAAAAATACCCTTACATCCAAGAGTAAGTCAGACTAGTGGCCTTTGAAGCTTTAGGGGTTAAAAGCCGCGTTCAAACGTGTATTTTCGCTTTTACAAAGCCTTTATTATTAAGGGAACCTATATTTAAACAAAAGCTTTTTGACAGTTGCTTCCGTTTAAAATAACCAAAAAAATAAGTATACAAGCATATGTCTTGTCAAAATTTGCCATAAATAGAGTGAATTTCTACATTTGAGTAGAATTTTTTGATGCCGACAAGAAGTCACTACTTTGATAGGCCTGACGCTTTAATTCTAACAACTGTAAATGGTTTAATTTAGATCAGATTTGTAATCCACAAAATGCTACAGGAAAATACATTTGCTTGGGAACTTCCATAAAAGCAAGTCTAAAGGCAGTTGTTGTTATGCAGCTTGGGGTGACTAACGAGACAAAAGACAGCCACGTTGGGATCTATGCCATCGTTTGGAAGGGAGAGTAAAAAAATACTCTGACAGCTTGAAAAAGCCATGGCATATATAGGGGTGATGTAGCAATACTCTGCCCCGGTAATTACAGATGGGAAAAATAAATTCAATACTTACCTATTTTTTCATACTGTATATTTAGCTAATTTGACAGGATGAATAACGCCTAGAAAACAAATTTCACAGTGTACAAAATTCGTTATTTGTTTTATTTTAGGTAAGAATTACTAGCATCTAACTTACGAAGAATTTGTAACATTTTGGTCCTATTTGCATTTATCGTTAAATGTTCATCTAAAATCATCCCGTTTGGAATATAATTTTTACTTAAAACTTATAAGTAGCGCCTTTGTAAGAGCCATTGGTGCTGTTTGGAGCTGACTGTTAAATATTTCACTTAGAGTAAAATGCAGCATACAGGAATTCGAATTTCATCACAACCGAAAACTACACATTATGTCTCATTCATTATCTTAGTATGCTCACTTTGAGCTGACAAACGAAAATTTATAGGGGAAATACACTACTCCAGTGGAGAGAATTGATTGAATCGCACTTAAAACCGGATATGAACCTACCAAAGATGTTTAAAATTTATATGTCGCTTTATGCAAAGGTTAAACTACTAAGAAAGGTCCATTTACAACTGGGTCTTGAATGGCATACTAAATGCACTTGCAACTAGTCACAGGATAAATAATTCTACATTAACTGGCGTTCTTCGGTCTTTCCCCAAAAAATTGCAAATCTTGTGCTCTTGTTTAATGCATCATTGAAAATGATGAGAGAAAATGGGTTTAACGATACACAGGATTCATTGAAAATAGGCATGATTTTTAGTCGAGTTTCATGACTATAAATGATAAAATCGTCCATCCTACTAACAAACGAGGTTGAGCCCGCATTGTGTTGCGTGACTAATGTTTTCTCTGCAGAAATATGCCTTTTTGTTTAAAGTTTGACCGGAATGCCCTACACTAGCTAAAAAATGGACCTTAGCAGTTAAAATAATTTTAAATGGCCAAAAATGTCGCAGTCTTCTTCCACTGAGTTAAACCAGTAGATGGTAATAAATTGCATTTAAATTTAAAGCCACTGTCCATCAAAGTTATTGAGTAACAAGTTTTTCAAACATATTTTCAAATAAGTTAGCCTGCCAGGGCTACAAAAGAATATTTGCCACTAGAAAGACTTTATAAAATCGTCACGCAGTTGAGCAGCATGGAGTAAACCGTAGGTGGTAAATCAGTAGTAGAATAAAACTGCAATGACCTTAGTCAGGTATTTCAAGATAAACCTTCTTCCTTATATTTACCACTTGTTTTTTCAAATATTAAGACCAATTTGTGCAATTTTTGTGCTTTTCAAGTACATTTCACCGCCCTGCTATGGATGATTATGGCTAAAAATTAGCTCTCTTAAGGAAAAAGATTAAAGTAATTAAGACTTGTGGGCAAATTTTTAAATGCTAGGCTACCGCTATCTCATTCTGAATATAAAATGTATGGTTTTTCAAAGGAAAAGTAAGGGGACTCAAATAGACGTTATTCAGACACATGTACCACTACATCACGAGCAAATGTGTTTTAAATAAGCAATAGTGTAACAAAATATATTTATTCTAGCTGTTTACTTGGCATCCCGGGTTCACTATTTCCTATGATTTAATCACTATCTGCCATTCATGACGTCTCAACTGCACATCTAGTTACTAATACTGCCTTACATTCTGGAATGCCTCGTTGTGCCCTCCGGGATGACTAGGAGGGCTGCAATTAGTGAGCTCCAAGAAAAGGCATCTCTCTGTAGACCTGCCAGAAGATGCTACGTACTACAGCATTGATTGCTAGCAGTTACATCAGTTACTCATTGATGAGGCCAGAGTAGATCTAGTGAATTAAAGCAGCTTGCAAAACCTTTCCCATTAGGTCTGCAGTCACAGCGATTTATGTCACTTTTCCGACAGTCTTTCTTCTCCGAGTACTGACTTTGGCAAGTTTTCCTTAAAGTAGTTGGCACAAGAATACTCTTGTTGCAGAATATGAGCTGATCTTAACTGCGGCTTTGAAGTGAATTTATTTCTCACAAAGTTTTCTTTTTTATGAACAGTATAATCAGCCTGATTTACGCCTGTGCTTCCACTTACGCGATTACTCTAATTTCCTTCTGTAAAGAAAATTCACCTTTATCCATAATAAGCAGTTTGTTGCAAGTCAAGGGAAGACTGGCAACGACCGTAGTAAAAGGGCGACCATGAGGACAACACTCAGAAAAGGAGGTGATGAATGAGTTTCTAATGTATTTAACTACGCTTTTCTGCCACTGTTTTTGTGACATTTTGCCTTAAAAATGTCTTAAGCCCTTAACTCTTTTATGCGCTAAAAATAAGGCTATTTTACACTGGTATGCCTCATTAGACTCTTGGGATAAATCGGAAGCTATTATGTAACAGAGCGATGCTGTTCACTGATGCAAAGAAACAAAAGGAAGAAATTTTGATCATAAAAACAAACTTTTGTTCTTGAAATAAATTTCCAAATCTACTTAAGCGGCCCAATTTTATTATGTATAAATTTACTGAGGTCAAAATATCTTGAATATTGTATATGACTAGGCCTACGTTGAACCTGAGAGAAATGTTGCCCCGGTTGGCATCGATGAATTACATGTCTTGAAGCTGTGTTGGGTTTCGTATCCACGGCTTCCCTAAAATCTTAGGAATCATGTTGATAAAACGGTGATGGAAAGTCCTCAAGTGCACTTTTATTATCTGAGATGGTTTCACATTATCACATTTACTTGAAGTTTATTTAAAATTAATCATGAGTTAGCATATCAGAATGAAAGCCAGTACTCGATGAACTTTTCTACTGTTAAAAAGAGTTAGCGAAAACATGAGTTCATTCCGAATCAAAGATGAATTTGAAGTTTGTGACTTTTTGCAACAAAAGTGACAACTAACATGATTAACAGACATGCAACCCACAGATGACAGTTGATCTGCTCCTTTTGCGAACTGTTTTCTCTAAAATTACTAAAAATTGTTTGATTTGACAAATGATTAAATATGATTTAATGAAGAAAGAAAATTTACTACAACCTCTTTCATAATCAAGAGGTACTTCTAAGAATCGTTAACAGTTATCCACCTAACTTGTGTGAAGCCTTCATCAAAACCGCTTTGCCACCAATGAATCACTTCGTAAATGCAATAAACTCTACCTATTCCAATCAACTGGCGTGCACCTTTTAGGCAGTGGTTAAGTTGCTTTGGGATTTAATTCATTCCACTCCTCTGAGTACAAAAAACCCACCAATAAAAAGCAATTTCTGTCCAATTTTAGCCAGATAATTTATAACAGGTCTTCTTTGACTTGATTCAAAACTATTCTCAAGTACAAAAACCTGGAAAGCGAGGACTCCTTCCCATTTTTAGCTCTCTAACTCATTTAAAGTAGATTTTATTCTAAACTTCTGCATGGGAAAGTCTTATTTTATATTGTAATTTATAACACCGTATTTTTGCTAAAAATAAACTAACGTCAACTCATGAACGAAAAGATATGGTGTAGAGCACTTTCTATAGGAAGAAGCGTTTAATATTGATAAGGAGTTGTGAGTTGCCGGAATGGCTAAACCTCATCAAACAAGGTCATTAGCAGTTTGAGTTAAGCATTTTAATATGATTTAATTAGGTTTGCCGTCAAATACCAAATGCTAATTAGGATTATTTGAATGGGGGTTAGCGTAATAATTGTCACAGAAGTTCCTCTCTGTCTTTCAATGCAATCTACGCGACACAGAATAGGAGTTTCTGCTTCCTTGCAAGGCAACTCGCACGCACACGCACATACGCATGCACGCACCAATCAGCGGCGAAGTTCACCTGAGTGAGTGCAGCTCAGCTTTTATCGATTAATAAATTTGCGCACGCGTACACGAATCGGCAACGTCCCGACCTCAAACGCAAACGCACGCGCGCACGTGCGTTCAGAGCAGAAGAGGTAGTGTCTGGTGGAGCAGACGCAGCAGCAGTTGTGGCAGTCAAAATTGCACCTTCGTCGACTTTAATTGAATTGTACAGGCATTAACAACAAGTAGTGGTTGTGGTAGTGGTGGTGGTAGTGGGGGTTTAACGAGTGGGCTAATGAAATATGTAGCACTTAGCCCTTCCCCTGTCCTCCTCTTTTTCCCTTCTATTTCCACCCCTGGAAGTACAAATGATTAATCTCACTTGGGTATATCGAACTATTGCTGCTGGCTACATGCCTTCCTACGCGTGGCCGTGTGCTTTAGCAGCGCCTGAAGGAGTAATAAATGCCCGGTCAGATGTCTCAACGCGGTCGAGTGCGGTTTAGCCCAGCTGAGCAGGAACAGATACTTCCGTATTGGCCCCACTTTACTGCCTGATATTCATCACCTTATGCATCCAATAGAGGTGGTCAGACGCAAATCCTCAAAATCTTAATGTAACGTACTATTTAATGCCAGATTTTCTGGTGGTTAAAAACGGCAACAATCCAAGGTAGGCAAGGAAGTAAGTCAATAAACAGCTAGATGTTTGGTAATATTTCTTATATCTCTTCTACTCTGAAGGGTTTAAACTGCAACATGTTAACGTAAGTCATTTTAAGATATCAACAAGGTAATCAGACACTTAAAATTGGGTAATTTGAGTATGTATTGAGGCATAGTGGAGTCTTAGCCAACCAACAATTTAATGTGCGTTTGCAAATGCATTTTTGTAGGATGTGGAAAGCTTACAGGGGACTGCATTTATAGGTTTAGAGGAGCTAAAATCTCCCGGGAGTTCTTTTACCAAGTAAGTTACAAGTGATTTGGTCAGGCAAACGTCTTCCCTGACAGCCAACCAATTTGTTAAATTTCTTTTATCAAATTGTGTTGGCATATTTTGGAGTGATGGATTCTGGAATAATGCCACTGAGAGAGGCATTTTAACGTCGATTTTCAGGCAATTACTGAATTATAAGAGTTATGAGTACTAGCATTGCCCTATGAAGTATTCTAAAGTATTCATTCTGCAAACAAAATATTCATACAATTAATTACAGAGTAGGGTCTGCAGGATTAAAACCCATTGCCTTTTGTATATCTTTCCGGGAAAAGGGGTAGATATAATCAGTCAAAACTACTCAACTGTCTTAGGATTCTAGTGTTCTCCGTTTTACTGTGATTTAAGCGGCATATTTTAATTATGTGAAAGTCGTTTTCCCCTTTCTCAAAAACTTTTCACTCCCACGCTACGAAAGCACTTACATTTCATCTATATTGTACTGCTAGGGCAAATACGGGTAAGCTACTGACTTCATACCTCACTCAATGGCAAAATATTCTTTTCGCAGACATATAGGATAATAATACGCATATTGTAAGACGACTTTCTCTTGATAATATGGGTGAACTTAATGATATGAGTGGGTATCTGAGAGGTGCTTGCGGACATAAGGGAGGTGTGACTCTTTTTTACAGCAGCGTTGGCCTAACCCACACACTCACAACTGCAAGTTGTTTTTTTTTCTTTTGTTCGGTGCGGTTGCATTCGCTAAAACCTGGCCCATTCGCATGCTCGTGCCATGCGTTGGAAGTAACGATAAAGAAGAAGAAGAAGAAAAAGAATGGAGAGCAGGTGGAAGAGGGGGAAAAAGATTTGAGCAGAGAAGAGAGAAGTATGAAAAGTGGGCGGCAATCACATGCATGGTGGGATGGGTTTTAGGGACGCGACTGCGAGCAAGGACAAATTTCTGTGTAAGTGCGCAGGCTTGTGCACAATACCTTGTGTAGTAGCTGATAGCGACGCTAACAGACGGCGCTTAAATGTACAGATTTGTCGATTGGAAAGGAAAGTCGTGATAGTGGGGTGTTTAGAGAGAAAGAGAAGACTGGCGTTCATCATGGTCCCACGGAGTGCATACACAACGGGGATTATCCTTTTTTTCGGTGATGTCTAAGAATAGGGATTTCAAAAATATACCTAACTAGTCACTCACGCATTTCTATGGGGGTGGGGGGCAATGTATTGCGAGGAAGTTGAGAGAAAGAAATAAGGTAAGGGAGTGGAAAAGGACCAGGGGATTACTAGGGGCTCAAGTGGACCCTATACAGCACTTGAGCCCCTATTAACTGTCTCTAGCAGTCGGTTGACATCCTCTTCCGTACCAGTAATCTTGGCTTGTCGATAGTTCTTCCACAGAGTTGCAGTGACATCCAAGGCTATCAGATCACTGGCAATTTTGGAGACGATGTGGAGGATAAAGATGCCATCTGCACCGAGGTTTTGATTAACAAAACGGGTGCAGTCTCGTTCCTCCGTGCTGGAGATGAGTCGCAGCGCCTTCAGGTACTGCTTTATGTAACAGACGCGTCGTACGGGAAGCATGGTGTTGATGGTCCACTGAATGGTGTTCATTATCGTCAAAGAGCAGAGGATGACGAACCAAAACCAAAGAAATATATAGATCTTCTCTACAAAATTGTTTATTGGGAGGACACATTGCAGGGAGTAACTAGAATGACAAGAAAAATAGTGGAGAAAATGTTTTGTTTATAGGTTTGGCAGTCAAATTAAAGAAAGTCGAATTGTAACCTAAGTAATCGACTTCTTTTACAGTAGAGGGATTTAAAACGAGGTTCGAAATACTGGTAACTAAATTTGTTGATGTGAAGTTGAACAACCCTCGAGAAATAAAAAAAGCAATTATTTTTTGAATGACAAAGGTTCGTCTCAATTTATTTTGTTTAGGGATAAAGAGGCAATGAAATGAAATTCAGCAAAGTGGATTTTGAATTGCTGAGTAAAAGTGCTTCTTGGTAGAGATGGAGCATAAGTAGGAGGGTGATTCGTTTTTTCTCCTGCTTCCACGAATGGGTAATCGGGTGTAGCAAGCGAGGCAATTACATCAAGCCTTTCTTTCTAAAGCCTACCGCAATCCCAGGGGAAATTGAAACTGCTCTATTTTTCTTACGTGACAAAAAATATTTTTTTGAAGACTAAAATAGCAGGCTCGCGCGCCAACTCTTAACTGCACACACACTTATCTGTGGTTAGGTAGAAAAAGCCAGCCAACTGTTATGGCTTTGCTTCGCGCCCCTGCTCCAAAAGGGATTTAATCTGCTGTCGACACTTATGTTTACTAGTCTCTCGGAGGAAAGACCACATTTGAAAAGTAGCTTAAATTATCTCTTAAATCCCATGTTGACGTACTAGACAGCAGAAAGTTTCATTATGCTTTTTCTCTTTGTGACATTATTCGCCTCGCTGAGTTATTTATCTAATATAGCTGCCGGAGGCGATCGTAAAGTTGTGAAAATGAAAATCACCATTCTCTCGAGAAATAAAGCAGTATTAACAAAGAAAATAAAACCGTGAGAAAATCTGATCAAAATGAGGTCAGGAGAGAATGTCTGGTAATGCTTGTCCATTCTAGAACGGCAAATCTAAGAATTATAAACGGAGAAAACGCAAAATTTTACGTTTTGTCCCTTTTGAGAGTAACTACACCTACTTTAAGGAAAAAACATGGGACAGTTAATTAAGAGGTCCATTTAAAGTTCTTTGGAAGCCAACTACAAAAGTTGCTGACCTTATAACAATATAAAAATTAGTAATTTATTTACGTAAGTTTGCTTCAAATCAAATACTACTTGGGAAACCTGTGAGTAGTACCGTTATTGTGTAATTATCAGTTACTAACTTTTATTATATTGTCAATAAATTATCTTTTCATTGATGGTTTTTAGCTATCACAGCTACACCATAGCAGTTGATAACAGGCAAAAGGAATAACCAACTTTTTTTCCTTGGTTGTTGATGCTTTTTGCCTTTCTGGTACCAAAAACCATCATTGTAATGGCTACTGGATTATTATTTTCCCTTTATATTAGAAGCTATGTTGACTCATGTCATCGTCAAAACAATGTTTTGGTGCCCCGATTTCTATTTGGTGGTAGTTTAGCCAACTGCGACCATGCAGTTTTGACGATTTGATATGAGGCAGGCTGACAGTAATGCTTACTGCCACCTCACCACCTTACGATCAGGATTCGGTATCCGGATTTCCCAAGCACTATTATGGATGTAAAAATAGCTCTGCAGTGGATTGTTTGAACCTATAAGTTGGAAGTTTTGGTAACTTGCCTAGCCTGAACCTACGCAAAGCCTGGACGCGAGGGTAACTGAGAGAAGGCGAGAGAGGGTAACTAAACTGGGATTTATTGAAGTGACCTCAACCGGTTTACGAAAGGTCAGCAGCGCTAGCTAATGGAAAGATTTTTTCGCGACGTTTTACACATTCTAATTATTTTAACGCCTCGGCATACCATAGGTCATTATGAGAGCTCATAACCAAAGGCAGGCTTTTTACAGAACAAGTTGGAGCTTGGGCGAAACCTGACAAATGAATCTTAAAAGATAAAGTGTTATCATTACTAAGTTTTTGAGATATCTGTCTATTTATGATCTAAAAATTACACCGGTGGTTAATCTTCTCTGAGTTAGTTTAACAAAGCGAACTACACACCAAAATCCGTACAATTGTTTGTAGGGTAAATAACATTTGAGGAACTTCTGTGACTGAGACATCGATGAGTGATAAATTATGTCATGTTAAATATAATTAACCCATTTATTAACTATGCTTTATAAACCCTTAAAATTAACAAAACAAGGCAGTATTTACTTGAAAAGGAACTTTTGAAAAGGGACAAGTGATTGATCCCCAAATCATATATGTTTTCCCTATCTCACGAAAATACCATTTAGACAGGCGACTTAAGAGGCTGCAGAAAAGAAGGCCTTTTGCATGAACATTCGCCCAAACTGGGTAAGAAAAATCAACCTAACCAAGATTTACTGAAAAACATGAATAATGTATGTGGGCTAGTGCATACATCCGGCAACCTCGATAACCCAATGAGTGGCATTTCAGCGGGAACTCATTCACCACAAATAAACATTTTTAAACCCAAATATGTATTTATTTTTGACAAGTGATAAGTAGCAGGAATAGAAATATAAACAATTTGTGAAGGTTTTATTTGCTAAAGGGAAGAAAATACCTTAAATACTGTGGCTAATATGGAAAAATCCGTTTCCACTTCTACCACAAGAAAGGAATTATCTCCTGTAACCCTATTTTGAGCACTTTAAATGTCTCTTCCTTTCGGAAAACCACTAAACTTGCTACCATTTTTAATTGTAACTGGGGAAACTTGTGATCCTCGTAAAAGTACATACTCCTTAAATGTCTCCACGAGTAGGCACCAAAATATTTTAGTATGTTGCTTAATTAATTACTTAGCAATGAATGCTATTGGCATGAACTCGCAGAAAAGGAGATTTTGTCGCTTAAACAAAAGCATCTGGTCTGTAGTTAATAAATCATTAAATTATCCCTACAAGGTGGAATTAACTTCACTGCAACACTTGCGTGATCCGGTGGCGCATTTTAAACTGCGAAAGTTGGGTCAGCAGCAGGCACTCACAGTCTTGATTCCCCCTTATAATAATTTACCTTTACGTGATCTAATAATAAGGGCCTTTAAGAAAAAGCTTTCTTTCCCCATTTCTAGTGCAAGGTAGAAGCAGTGCTCAAACTCCGTGCCGACAAAAGATTCGGCAGAATTGCGTGACAAAGGAAAAGCCGAAATCGGCTGCAAATCGGCAGCCGAGTGCCTTACTGTAAAAGTATTTTTCCTACAAAAGGCGGGTATATTTGGTAATAGAGAAATATCATAAAAGAAGTCAAAGTATTGTTGCAGTTTCATTTCTTGCGCTTCCTCCGGGGACGAAATTTTGAAGCATTGTTGCCCTGTTAAGTGAGCAACTTTTGACATCTTTTGGTGCTCTTGTTTGCCTAGCAGATAATGATACAATTACAATGACTAAAAATTTTCCTTACATCATCACTTTTATCGTCACCATGAGGTGCAAGGTGCCTTCGCAATCCTAGGTGATGTCACCTCCACCGTTTCAAAATAGCTGCTTTTATTTTTCTAATTCGTAGCCTTTGAATGAAGTATCCCACCGTTATCGTATAAAAACACGACATTCCGTAGGGTTGAACAAAAAACCATTTTTATTACGTGTATATATTTTTCGAAATTGTGAAACATCTAGGATTATTTATGTAATTTCTGTTCCGCTCTTTTTGTATAAAAAATCATCGATTTACATTTTTGGCTCCTAAATTTTTTAAAAAGTCACCACCAGTTGATAAGCACATATCCTCTTTTCAGTTGGAGAGGCAACATTTCCTTCTTCCAGAAGGGTTGATCTTATCTCGACTGCATCGACTTTTATGCCATTACTTGCCATCTATTGACAAGTAAAAAAAAACACTTCTCACAAAGCTTTGGTTACTACTACTCAGTGAGAGAAAAACGGAGTATTTTAATTTTTCCTATAGGTTTTAAAATAATTTAAAATTTAAGCCTCATATGTTACAATGGATGTCGCAGGAAGTGTAGCTCTTTGGAAACTGGAATAAAATTAGCACCCCTCTTTTATACGTACGTTTTTGATTAACTGTACAGTTGAATGACATTTGCGAAGGCTCATAGAATTACCCTCCCTTGAGTATTAAAAATGGAAAGTAATAAGACTTTTTTACATGACCAGTTAATGACCACCCCTGAGCAAGGTAATATCTTGAAATTGCCATCCTCATGCTTTAAAGTGAAATAGTAACACTGGGAACTGTAAACGGGGCATACGTCGCGGGGTTGTTTGATTGTATGAATTTACATTTTAGCTGTACAGGCAATATAGCCTCGGTGCGGTGGCTGGGAATTAATTTGGAGCATCGTTAATTTTGTCTGCAAGTAATTTAGTGAGCCAACCACTCTATCATTGGTTAACTGCAGGCCTACGGTGTCAAACCATGCAATATTTTCCGACAGCATCTTTCCTCACTCCGCCTTCTCCACTCTGCATGCCCATCTCTCCTTGCCCCGGAGGCACATATAGACCTCCACGTCAGCTCAATACGACGTTAAAATATAGGGGAGAAATGCGTGTGATAGAGGCAAAATCTTTTAAAGAAATTCAACCGGAGAAAAGTATTAAAGGGTGAGTAGTGACGAGGTTGAAAAAAGATGAATGAAGTTGTTAGGGTCATTTGAAATTCGTACAATCTTCAGTTGAGAAATGCTTGTTTAACGACTTTCTAAACCTCATCTTTGTGCATTAAGTGCAGGGAGCACTAATTTAGTTCCTTGAAAATCCCAAATACAATTGAAATTCTGTAATCATTGTAAGATTGGGGGCCCGGAAATATCATCTTAATCCATCTCAAATTAATCCAGTCTAACACCTTATGGAAGCATCCAAAGGGCTGCTTTTTAAAAAGAATATGTAAGAGATTCTACAGTTAAACATTATTTAAATAGCTATTTAGGTTTATTTTATTTTGTTTGAATCACGAGTTCCAACAAAATGAACCACTTTTTAAGTCTCCCTTATGCTAAGCGCTTCATCTTCAAAAACGCCTGATTCATTTTTCCTTTCTAACAGTCAATGTATGCGGTGGGAATAAGTCCAATGACCCGAGTATCACCGCAACGAAACACGGTTTGGAAATGTGTGGAGTTTTACCCTTGACTTGGCCAAAAACATGTTGACTTGAGACTAATTAGCATCCCCGCCGTTACAGCTTGCAAATTTCAAAGGCACTGCATAATAACAACCATTTTCGTGGCCCTTTTAACTAAACTGTTTCTGGCGTCTACTTCAATTTCTGCTGGTCTTGGGTAGCAAGCAGATAATTAGTAGCTGATTGTACCTGGGGCCTTGCAATACTTTCTCAGATTAAAATAAAGTAAAACTTCTTTTACCGGAGGTTAAATAAACATGCTTAAATTTTGCCTAGGGTTTTGAAAAAGTCATTTAAAACGTCGACATTTATTAATTGTGTTTTGTCCCAAATGTTCATAAAGAAGGAGCTCACTTATGTTTAGATAATTAATAATAAAATTCTGGTAGATTTGAAAAAAAGTAGTACGTTTAGGAAACGGAACTATATTAGGCTTATAAATAAAAACTACTATTTCATGGATTTTACTCAATTAAATGCTGTTGTGTCTAAACTCACAATTTTACAAGCGAAGAGGAGTTTGTACAGGACGTAGTAGTTCCTCAGTGCTTTAGGAAGTGGTGAAGCCCATGTTGTGTGATATTTCAAGAGAAAGTTATAAAAAAATGAATGAGTAAAACCACGTTATGCAGAATTAGTTCCGGGGTTGTGGCACACTACATGGATAGACAAGGGAAGCATGATCAACCCAGTTTACACCCACACATATATTTTATCCTAAACAAAGCATGTGTATGCTGCTTCCGCCCTAAACATTGAAGCGTATAGGTCCGTTGGATAGAATTCTCAAAAAAAACGCTGGCTAGCTGCAAGGACTAGTTACACTGAGAAGATTAGTGGGAATATAATATGTGATTTTACGTTCATCTTGAGACATTCAATACCTGTTTCGCAAAATCACCTTAATATTGAATTTTGGTCTTCCTTTAAAGCTATTTTAAATATTAGATGTCTAATCACCTAGCGCTATCATAAAAACAATTAGTTCTAACATAAAAATGATGTAGGAAGGAGAAGGCAGTAAACAAATTAGTTTTTGTTCCACTAACAATGGAGTTTGCGTTCACAAAAATAGCAATTGTTTGAAAGGGGAATAATAAAAAATTAACAAGAAAAACACGCAAAAGGTCTATTTAGCCTACGCCCTATTGTGAGGAAGGCCCCAGAAGGAAATTTTTTGGTAAGGATCATTTAAACAGGATTGACAAACCAATTACACGTAAATATTACTTGGACGGTGCGAAATGCGACTCTAAGAGCGAAGTAATTTTACCCTAACTGAAGTAAATCTCAAGAAAGGACAGACGACTTTTCAGCAGATTCAGTTTGCTATAACTGTTCCTTCTGCAGATTTCTTGAAGTACAAACTGACAAAATGGCTTCCTACCTAGCCCCAGTGCACATTTGCATCCGATCTGGCTGACGGACCCGAATTTGGGTCACTGACCTTTAATCAATTGGTTAATGACTCTCTGGCCAGAGGGGAAAGGAAGAAAAGACGGAGTAGGAGGGGAGGGACAAATACTGACACCCTTAAAATGGACCATCTTTGATTTAACACATTCTCTCCCTCTCGCTCTCTCTTACATAGACACTCGCTCAGAAAATTAATCTTTTTTATGAACCACCCTTGCAGCAGTGAGGTGTCGTATTACGGCAGACGATGTGCCCCAAAGACAGAAGCGGTAGCAGTTTAATCACCGAAATTTTAGTCACAGTTGCCGTTAGATTCAGGCCTCACGATTCGGCTTAATTATTGCTAATTTAACGGCTCATCCCTGATGGCAAATTGCTCGTTTACGAGGGCTACGCCAAAACTAGTTCTTCACTATCTCTTTTAGACGCTTGTTTTAAAGCCAACTGTAGTGTAGGTGTTAGAGTAAGGCAAATTATTAGAATAAGGATCGTAATTTCGTTTGTAGAAGTCTAAGGACACGCGATACTAACTGCTTCGGCACATAAAAATCCGTAATTATTCCACAGAATTATCCATTGTTTAATCAAAATGCTACTAAACTGTTAACTTTGGGATTTCGCGCAATGTAATACCTGAATTGTTTGTTTAGTTCTTGATTTAGGTAAAGGGCCACTTAGGGGTTTCGCTATTATGCCTTTGTCAGGCGGCCTGGCCTCCAGGTCACGCTAGTAGCCCTGCCTTTCTGTATATCGACAACATATATTCTGCCCGAGTACTATGTCTTCTCTCATCCTTGCAAGAGTCTGGGAGAGATACAATAACATCTCAAGCTATTTTTTAAGGCCCTGGTGCACTTGTACCTCTATCTAAGCACAAAACTAAGAAATGTAGATAATTAACTAAGAGATGTTGGTTTCTCTAGAGGTGGCAAATGCAGATTAAGACGGAATCCTCACACTTCTACTGCGGATTATAGTAAGGTTGAGCATTGCACTAAGCGAAGACAACTTAAACAAATAATCTCTGGAAAGTTAGCTGGTGTTTATTAGTTCTGCTGAATCTAGTTGAACAAATGCTTTACTTTCTTGTGCTTTGGTTTATTTTTCCGCATTTTTATAGTAATGCAAAGCATAATCTAGTAGTTAAGCTTGTATGTTCCTCTCAGATATCGTTTCAAAACGCCATTTCTATTTACATCCAGTAATCATTGGGATTCATCGCTACTCATTTACAGCATCGTAAACATTGCCCCAAAACTGTACTTTTTAATGACTATGGCTGTATTCTGGTCTAGTGCAGAGTTAATCATATCAACCAATGAGACCTTGTGACCTGACTATAAATTAACACAGTGGTAAGAAGTTTTTGTGATCGCCTTTAGTTTTCTTTTGAGTTGCGGAAATAGGATCGTCAAATGATGAAGTTTGAATACTGCTATTACTACTGGACTGAAGGGACACTGATGATGGTTCCGCGAAATCTAAACTAAGATTTTATTAAGCACTTCTAGGTTGAAAGATTCTTTGTTCCCTATAGTGTAATTCAGCAACGATATTTTGGGGCGTGAGCATTTCTAATCTCGCATAGTGGAGGAATGCATGGACGTGATGAATTTCGGGCGGGCTGTCGCAAGACACTGCCTCGTCAACTTCTAAGTATGGAAAGGTCAAATACCCTTAAAATGTATTTGAAGACATTTTCTTCCAAAGCTAATGAAGGATGTTTTATTAAGCTGCCGTCTGAACCGTGGAAGAGTTATCCAGCACCACACTTAAGTCAAATAGATTACTTCAAAAGGTTGTTTTTTGTCTACTGGAATGTTTTATGGCCCTTGAAATGAAGTGGAGAGGAGCTGGTAGACTTGCATCTTATACCGTAAAAGAATAAGTGAAGTAATGCTCTTGACTCGGACTCATTGGTCTATTTGAAAGAAAGTCTTCTTCACTGTACGCTTTGCTGTTTCGTCTTAAGACGGCTTGCGACAGTCCTTTCGCTTAAGCTTTTTCCTAGAAATTTTTCAACCTATTTGTAGAAGTAATTTCATCGAGAGAAGTGAACGTGAGAAAACTCTTTTGCCTAGATAAACTCCACATTTTGGAAATAAATGCTTTGTTACCACAGAAAAGTAGTAAATAACGAGCCATGGAAATGGGAAAATGGAAGGATAATATGTCTTCTGTGTCTGTGAACGCTGACATAGAACCTTCCCTATAATGGGAAAAACGATTTTAATTTAAAAGAAAGTTACTTCTAAAGGAAAGAGGGAAGAAAAAAGAAGAAGCGTGTCTTGTCTTTGTTTTTTTTAATTTGCCTGAGTGGTGGATACGCTTTTTGTGAAGACAGTAGACTAAACATGGAGATGTAGGGGAGGAGGTGTGCATTAGGATGGATGATTTCTGTCTTGTTAAGACTGGAAATTGCGCTTTTAGGTAAGGCTTAAGATGATAGAAATTACTTGCCAAATCTGCACATCATAATAATGCCTTGAGATTTGACTCAAAACCTACTAGAATAGTCCTTACTTCCCGTTGAAGTAGCAGTTACAGTAGCTGCGTGCCAGCAAATATGTCCTATTCTCGGTTTACAGATCCTATAATTAACCTCAGGCAGTTAGAGCCCCAGAAACAGGTGTCTGAATGATACCAAATGACTAACCTCGCGGGTTTAGGTTGGCCCATGACTCGAACCTTGATGTTGCAATACGTGACACGAGGGAAATGGCCACTAGTGTCCCATTCCTCACCCTTTGTGAGGTCTTGCAGGAGTTGTAGTCCAAAGAACGTGCTATTGAATCCGGTGAAGCACTTCATCAGGTAGATTTGGCCCAAACAATTGGCAATAAAAAGGGCGCGCACAAAGAGGAAGAGAAATGTAAGTCGTGCATTGGGTGCGATGCCACAGAGGCACCGGTTTACAAAGGACTTCATTCGCCGGAATCGCGATTGTGACTCCGCTTGCTCCTCTAACGTGGCCACTAGGCAGGAGACAGCTTTGAGGCGCAATTCGCGATCTGGAATGGAAGCCTCCTTGGCGGATTTGAGCAGAAGGGGAAGACGACGCGAACAGACACGCCAGAGGAGATGCGGCACCCAAGACATCATAGCCTGGCCCGCTAAAACTATTGACATCCACTGGTAGTAGCCGATGAATTTGATTTTTTCGTACTCCAGCTCTTCTGCGGGAATGTCTTCGTGAGGCAGGAGGAAATAAGTGTTCGACACCCAACAGTAATTCTCGGTGTACTCCTCCCATGCTCGTGTGAATTCTGGAGGTACCCAACATTGGATTGGCTTTCCTAAAGTCAAAAATTTTGAAGTAGTAATATTCAACTATTCTATTACTACTTACTACTACCCAAAAATATGAGTTTTTTCGTTGTAGGATCATTATGGTGAATATTTTGAGAAAAACAATGAAGTGGATTGCTTCCAAGATTGCTTAGTCATTAGAGTTAATGAATTATGCAAATATATTACCCAATTTTGACAAGAAAACGAAATCCCACCATTAGAGTCTATTCATCTGGGTAGTGCCTTTGAAGCGGAAGTATGTTAGGCTACTTTAAAAGACCAAAAAATGTCAACCCACTGACACTTAAGTGCCACTTAAAGCTGTCAGCATTTCGTTTTTTTTTCTATCCATGTGATATTTTTGCTTGAAGATTCCTGTCAGATTTCACTCCTTTTACAACACTGATTTATGTAAATCTTAAAGGTAGAGTACAATAAAATATCCAAGAAGTCAAGTCTCATTAGCTCAAATAACTTATCAGGCGCACAATCTGAAAACCAACTAATTTGACTACTTTGTTTCTTTAACGACAACGAATGGATTAAGGTATAACAACTCATTAAAAAGCTGGAAAAGAGGATTATTTTTATGAAACGCGGTAGGGCGTTCCCGAGGAAGTGTTATTAATCAAAACGGCAAAAAAGAACCTTAAACACTATTTTAATGACATTAGGTGCATAAAAATCACCCTAAGAGCATGTCCTCTTTTTTGGTTCAAAATTTGCTCCTAAAGATGATTAAATTTATAATAGCTGTGGTGGGGCTAACTCCTTTGTCACTCAGTAGGGTCAAAAGTTAACCCTCATCATCAAATTTTTTAAGGTTACTCGAAGTCTTTTTTGTACGGTAGTAGAATTCAGCAGCTCCAAACAAAGCAGCGAACTACTTCCACTCTTGCATAAAACTACATACGTTGAGTGTTAACTTTTTTGCAAGGAAAAAGGGGTAACTTTGTAGACAGAAGATGGATGAATCGGAATTCAAATGGAAGCCAAGCAAGCAATGAAAATATGGAGCAAGGCCATCGTATTCAAACTTAAACGCAGAGCTTATGCTGCCGACTCGTTCAAGAGCAAAAAAAATGCGCGTATGAATAATTTAAACTTCGACAGGAGGGGAAAAGAGTTTGCTAATACTTTTCGGGTACGAACGACTTCACCACTTTTTCTTATGTATGGAGCTAAGCTAAAAAAGCAGCTTGCCCTTGTAGAATTTAGGCTCAAGGCTTTTTGACCAATTGAACATTGTCCATGAAAATCATGAGAGAATATTTTTTCCCTTCAAATTGATAGCGTTGGTGATACCTGGGAAGGTGTTTTTTTCTTAATATTTAGGGCTATTCTAATTAGGTCTTTTGAATTGTCGTTTTTACTGTGTTCAGGCAAGTGAACATAAAAATGAATGAAGTAAAAATTTATGGTTGTTGTCCCTTTTCGGGTTCTTTCTTGGTTTTGTAAAAAAGAAAAATTTTGCATTCCCACAAATTTTAAAAACTGTTATTTGATGCTTAGTGCGACTGAGAATTGCAGTTGGAAAATTGGAGATCGCGAAATCCCCCAACGCGTAAAAAACGCAGGGTTTTTAAGACTTCTGGATGGCAAGACCTTATAATCACTTAAAAAGGGCTTGCGGTTATGCGGCACTCACAAGCTTAAGCGCTGTGGCCACTTTACACTCCCATCCCCTCGTCATATCTCCGAGCGGATGTAGGCATTCTGAGCTGGTGAAAGTTTATGGTCTCTGCTCATGCCCCAACATTACTGTTATAGGGTGCTGTTAACGATAAGGAGGTCTTCTGACTCTTTTTTCATTGCATTGTACTGCTAAAAAGAACATAAGCCTAGACAAATATGACTCGGCTTAACCACTTTTTAGTGCAGTGAAAAGAAAGAGTTTGCAAGATATCAAGCTGTTCTAATCACGTCTGTAGTTAAGACGATAAAAATTTTGAGAGTACTTGCAGTCATCGGATTATAATGCATTGAGGGAAATTTCCATGTATTTGGGTGGTAATTAAGTCAAGGAAATTTGTTTACCTTAAGAGTAAAAACCAACCAGGTTTGTTCCTTCCTCTACAAATAAGTTTCGTCAGTCGTGTGGACACCACACGAAGGGTATTTTTAAAGTAATTCTTCTGAAATGTGTGCAAGTGCTTGACCATGGTAGTCTTGACATTTGTCACTCCTAGCAATGCGTGCATAAGCGCGTCCAGAATATGAGAGGAGGCAAAGAATATGTATAAGGCAAATATGCGTCCAGCAGTGACGGGCCCTCCAAACGCCTGATCGTAATTAAAGCTCAAAAGGTGATAAAGTCATGAGAAGAGTAGAAGCGAAGAGCATTGGTGCAGATCCCATATATACTACAATGTGTATTTCGAGTACGATCCCGATATGTTGGATATTTTAGACTTACCTGCTCGAGCAGATGATCGCGAACCAATTTTTAAATCTGTTTCGGAAACTAGTGATGAAAGAAGTGGAAAACAACAAGTGTCCCTGGGAATCCCGAATTCACCTCGTAACTTCCTTTTTCTTGCAGAGTAGTTTAATTGGATCAATTTAGACTTCTCAGACAGTAAAATGCCTTTTGCACGAAACCAAACTAGACTCGTAAATAACTGCTAAGCCTTGCCTAAACCAAATTAAATTTTTGTAGAAGTAGAGCCCGATGAATAATTTGAGTTGTTGGTATAATAAATGCAGAGAAACAAATACTTGCCCCTTGGAATTTCGAGGATGAGGCAGCAGAAGAATAGCACATCCCTTTTCGGAATTTATGCATCATTAAATCTTGCAAAAGTCCATGCATTTTTCATTTACTTTGCCTGATTTAGTGCCTTGCACGGGATCTTCTGCAGAATTGATGGTCTGCGACGGCCTAGTTATCTCCTTGATAACAAATAGCGCAATTTATCTGATCCTTAACTGGCCTAAAATGATGCTTAGCAAATCGAGATAACTCAAGTTCTTTGTCCAGTAGAGATAATTACCTACGTATGTTTAATGATTTCAGCCATAGGAACCCATTCACCTTATATGTGTCAGCAGTTAAGGCGACATCAACGTGTCTACTTATAGGCTAACTTCATGAGTTAGCGCAGGCCGACCCAAAGTACTTAAAATTCTGTATAAAATTTCACCTTCAAAGTGCATGTAAGATTATAAAGGCAACCGCATCCAACGTATTTGTGAAATGTTCTTATCCGCAAGGGGTAATTTTTGGTTGCTGATGCTTAGCGTCAAGATGGGAAGAGTTTTTAATGAAGTAGTTGAGATAATGGGAGGAAAGCGGAGAATAATCTGCCTTTAAAGAGTTGATACTTGAGGGGTAGAGAAGGCTTGAGAGAAGGAGGAAGAGGTGGGCAAAAAGCTTCAAAATGAAGGAAGTCTGCTAATTACAGGGCAGTGACATACAGAGAGAGAGAAAAAAAGTTCCTCTTTACCACTACAGCTTCTACTTCCTCTTGTTATCACTGGACAGACCTACATTCATACAGGCATACACAAGCCCACAGCTGTACTCTTCACGTTGCTGCTATTTCAACATGAGAGCTGCTTGAACAAGAAGCAGCAGACACCAAGAGTTCTGCCGTATGAGAATTCAAGAGAGACACTTTTCTCGTGAAACGTCTATTCATTCGCAAAGCTGATGATAAGCAACTTTATTTCAAATTTTTCTGCAACTAAAAACAGCTAAGCTATATTCTTTGCCATATATACGTCAAAGTACCATATCATCCAAACTTATTATGCACAAAAGCAAATGCTATTTAAGGAGGTGATTTATGTACGACGAGCCCTAACAGGCAGAATTAATAAAAGACGACCAGTTGAATAGAAACAGTGAGGAGAAGTGAGATAAATTCCTGTGTCCCTACTTTTTTCCCTGTATTCAAAAATGTTTTGTGATTTTTTTAACGAACAAAAGGCCATTTGTTATCTCCGATCACTTATTCAGATAAGAATCACTTCACACTTCAAGGTTGCAGTTCACTTAGTCTTGTAATAGACAGAATTGTCAAAAATCCTGTTACTGGAAAATAAGACTACATTCCTGTCCTTGGGGTGTGCCAGAAAAGCCGGTATCAGTACGTAATACTAGAATCTCCTGGCTGAATTTTTACTTTTTGAAATGATCGTCATGATGCAGTTTGGCAACCTTACCGACGTACTGTCGCAGACTGATAATGATGATGAAAATAAGTATTAATCCACCAGTGAATTGGTAGTTAAGTTGGTCGATAAAGTCAACGCCTTCACCACCGTAGGGAGTACGAAAAAGTCGGCCGAGTTTGAAAACAAATCCACCGTCGAGTAGACCACCGGCCCCACGGGCCATGCCTCAAATTCGGCTCTCCTGGGGATGTCTAGGTGTGCTTAATACCACGTCTCCCGTATTGCAGATGAACCGCGTTGCTAGCATTGTGTCAGCCAGAGGGAGTGATCCATTTATGTCGAGGCGGTTTTATTGTCCACGTGAACAAGGACGGGTTAGCCAATGGACCTTTATTTCTCTATTCACTCTTGTCTGGCTGTTTGGCAGTCTTGGTTAAAGTCAATAATCACAGAGCAGCAAAGAGGGTGAGAGTCCTACTGCTGCTTTTAGTGGTAGCGGTGACAGAGAAGGTGATGGTGGCGGTGGCCGTGGTGGTGGTGGTGACGGTGGTGATGATGGTGGATGTGGGAATGCCAGTGTAGCGGTTATTGCTCATTCAATTATACGCCAGAGCTACCGCTGCCACTGCCGTTACTACCGATACGTTGAAAATCAGTGGAGCTGCCTTATTGGCTCCTGCCTGCCCTGCACATGCCCGTGCGCACACAGTCCACACACACGCACTCCGTTTGAGAACGAATTGACGAATGATTGCGCGTGTCCGACCTTGAGGCTTCTCTATTCGTGTATTTGCGTACACAAATGCACCAGCCATGGGTAGCCAATCAGGGGGAGGTGATGGGAGGCACTGACCAATGGTAATGAGGTAGAAGCCGCGTATGCATATGGGGTGTTAGCGTGCTGGCTAGTGGAAAGGTGGGCTATTTTTAGAACCAACGCCTGCCACGCGCCTACCCAGTAGCATGGTTAGACTGCACTTCTTCCCAGACCAGCTCAAACTAGCACGTGCATACCTGCGCGCGTACTCACACGCCCTTGCTCAAGGGAAGAGGGGGATGGGAGGCAAGAGCCACACCTGGGAAGTTTGGTCGACTGTCATTAGAACAAGGCTAGCCTCCTAATCTCGCCACTCAAATGACTGACACATCTTCATCTACTCTCTAGTACTTAAAATCCTCCCTCTGTGAGATAGAAGTCAAAGAAGGGCTGTTGATTATTACCAGCACAGTTAGTCGTCTTAAACTAAGGTGAAAATGCCAAAGAAAGGATCAGTGGGACAATCTAAACCATTTTTAACCGTATCAATTCAGTGGTAATAAGTGCTTCCAATCGCGAAAGACAAACGGGTCTCGCCTACTTATGAAACCGAAGTAAGTGGGATTCGGTCTTCTCCAGAAAATTAAGACTGATTATTTGATAGTCACGTGATTTAACACCGACCCCAGAATTACCATGCTTCCACCTACAGTAATAAGGCTACTAATCTCTCTTATCTTACAGGTTATTTTTAGCTGGAAACAGGAAGCTACCTTCAATCCATTGCAGAAAATGGATGAAATAAATGACACTAAATCGTGATGATATCATTCCAAAACCTTTTTATTTTAATAGATAAAAAGTCTTCGCTACGGTGATTAATGTGTTAAATAAGATCATGTAAAATTCGAAAGTCGTGTGAAGTCGGTACTCGGAGTTGCACTATTGCCCAACACAGAGTTCTTGTCAATCACCAAATCGTACATTTTTATAGCTCCATGATCTCATCTGATACTAACTAGCAGCTTCAGAGTAGAGGAATCATATGAAGAGAAAAGTGCTGAGAGATGCAATATGCTTCAAAATACCAGCGGCAGGTTGGTGACTGCCATTGTTATTCCATTAGCATCAGAAATGGTTACTTTAAACTGAGCACCTCTGAAACAACTCCTTTGCCACTGTCCATAAAACACCAGAGACAAATGTTGTCCTTTTTTGTTTTTTCCTTAAATAATTGGAAAAGTAAAAAGCAACTTCGGGGGCGAGATTTCTATGATTCAAAAATAAGACAAATGCAGGAGTATTTCATCCTAGTAACCCTTATTCCAATTTATTAGAATTTTTAGGTACACTGAGAGTGGCCACGAATTATGTTTCCCTCCTTAAAGATAAAAAACTGGCCAACCGATGGTTCTGCACTTATTTTGGGCTAGAGAACTAAAAAAAAATAAAGACTATGAGCGATCGCAATCACATCACTTTTTATGAAGTTTTTTAATCTTTATGCTGTTAACTAATGTACCATCAACCGACAAATGCCTAACACAGCACACCTTACAACTCGTTCGTTTTTTTCTTGATAGATTAATAAAATCTGGACGTGTCTTTAGTAAAACAGTCTATAATAAATCTTGAATTTTTGTTTTGTGATGACAAAAAAAGTAATATGCCTTTTGCCTCTTTCGGTCAAGTATCCAACCGCAAATGCCCAGATAAGGTTCCTGCAACTCGGATATTAAAATCACTATTGCTACTTAAAATTTAACAGTAGACAATTTTCCACAATTTTTCTGTTATAAGGTTAATGTTTTAGACAAATTTAATCAAAGCTAAGCGTATAAAATATGTCAAGAAGAACTTGTGTGTACTTACAATTAATGCCGATTTGCTGATGACTCCATTCATCAATGATGAAATTTCCAAAGTTGAGTCCAAACCTGAAATCGCTAATTTCCAGGCAGCATGCGATCAAGTGCCTGAGCTACACTTCAAGCAGTTGACTTCATGCAACTTTCAACAAGCTCATTCCATGCTAGGAGGCTTGGCTAAATGCAAGGGCCAGGTTTCTTGCTAGGTTAATCACTACGTATATCCGCCGTTATATTTATACTGAAATCTTTATCATTTTAAATAAGAAGAAATGAAAAACGCACCCGCAAGGTCCCACTCAACCTAAAAGCGTGTTAAAATGAGTTTATTTGACTGATTATTCTTTCTTTAATAACAGTAAGGAGGTTGGTATGGATTCCTTAGATAAATTTTGCGCCTATGTAAATCTGCATAGACGGGACTTTGCTTGGAATGTCAAAGTACCATTGTGGGAACTGGGATTATACTAACCATGAAGTCAGTGTAGATAGAAAATAGAAAATAGTAGAGGGAAGCAAATTTACTGACATCTCATCTTTGTAGAGCAAGGGTACTTACTGCAATAGTGAACAGCAAATAAGATACTTAATGAAGGAACCTTTCTTATTAATACTTAGTGGTCAGTTCCATAGGCCAGACGAAAGATATATAAATTCATTAAAGATAACAAATTGGTGACGCATCTGAAAGTTGTTTTTAAAAATTTTATTCTAATTCCTCATTCCAACCCTATTGTCATTTATTATCATTTATTATTTATTTTCCAGACTGTAAAGGGTATATCTACACACCCTTCATTTTTACTGTTACTCTTGATGTGATTCCACAAATCTTAGCAAATTGCTCAGGCATGGACGTTTTCTGGTAGTTGCACGAGAAATGTAGTTGCTACACGGACAGCTAGATTATTAGAGAAATGACTGCTTAAATAGCCAGTAGCAACAGTTGCACTAAAATGTGTATTTCGCACAATGTCGGCTTTTAGGCATCGTCCTGTCTTTGTGGGAGAATTAAATTTGACAGATGTTTACTATTACAATGCAATAAAGTCAACTTCTGCTACTTTTTTAGCCGAAAAAGTTTTAAATAGTGGAAATTTTATGGGAGATTTATGCACTGTAAAGTCATTAATTTGATGGTTGAGGTACTTTTTGCAAGGTGTATTGTGTCCGTTTGAAAGGAAAAAAAATTAGGCACTCTGAATTTTTTTGTTACAAACATGGAGACCTAAGCGCAAAACACAAATGATGTGCTTTTATGTGGCCATTTCGGTAATTAAAATTGAGGAACGATTACTGTCCCGTTTATCGACTGCCAAAGTCAGTAAGAGTTTGATTTGAATAAACATTTACTATGTCGTCATCAGTCAGTAGACTTAGAGCCTATCCCTGATAAGAGTCTATTTAAGCAAGACATTGTCATACGATTTTAGAACATTCTGTTTTAGGAATATTTGCTTTGAATAGACGACGAAAGCTGAAGGCCTCACTTTAAAAATGTCATTTGGTACTTCGATCAACTATCACTGCCATATACTGTTCTACCAAAAAAAGCATTCACGAATCGGAGTCAGGGTTATCGTCAAATATTTAATCGGATGCCTGGGAGGTTTCCGCTGGTTCAAGGCCCCAGTACATAAGTTCGACAGTTGTGGGTAAAATAAAATGTGCAATGTCTGAAAATGGGAAATACCAATTTAAATATGACAGATTATATATTTGCTTAACAAGATCTTTTTCCAAAAAAATTTTAAAACTGTTTTCATTTACCATAAAATTTAATCTGTAATCCTTTGATTATGAGTTAAACTCTTCGCTGTGATTGCAGAGACACTTAAAGCTTCCCTTCTGTGCTTCCGCTGGCTGCATAGCCTCCGGACAATGCCAGTAGCCCCCAGCCCTAATGTGCGTCATTAGTGCATATTACGCCTTGGTATTATGTCTTCTTTCGCCTTCACTGAAGTCTCAGTGCACTACATTGGTGGCAGTAGAAAGCGAACCCAATTCTAAAGGACAACTATCCCGATTTTTATTACCGAATGCTAAACCTTAGCATAGTAGAAAAAGGGCACATGCTGTGGTTGGGAGAATCTGTGACGACCCCTAATGGAA